GTGTCTAAACAATTCCTTGGAAGGTGTGTTTCCCTCTGACTTTGCTAGCACTTGTGTGCTATGGTAAGCCCGGCAGGTACTGATTCTGGCTCCGAGAACTTGTCCTTCCCGGCCAGCCTCACACAGACTCACAAGAGCACTGGGCAGCAAGAAGCTCGGGCCACTGGATGAGTGCTTCCGTAGCAATATGGTGGTTCTGATGCTAACAACCCTGAGGAGAGGCCTTGGTGCGGTACTGAAGGACAACCGACAAGGAACACGGTTGGTGATGGTGCTGCCTGGTCAGGCTAAGGACACATGACATTGCTTGCTGTGAACAACAGTGAGATGGAGGGAAAAGAGAGGAGATGGAGATGTAGCCAGATCTCCCTGCTCTGGCTCTACCAAAGCAATCTGAGATCAGGACTGAACTGGTTTTTCAAAGCCAGGAACACTCACTGAATACATCACCAGGACCAATCGTGTGAGATATTGAGGGGTGCTAAGTGACATCTCCTTGTGACACTTTTCCCATAACTGGAACAAAATACATGGCCCCTCACAACTTCAAGGAGGAGAGGTTCGTTTAGGCTTACGTTTTAGAGGGTTTAGCTTGTGGTAGACTGCCTCCCAAGCAGAAACGTCCTGGTGGAAGGGCCTGTCAGAGGAAAGTTGCTCCACTAATGACAGCCAGGAAGTGGAGAGCGAAGGAAGGAGCCAGGGACAAGAGCACACCCCTCTGCGCTCCCAGCAACCTGTGTCTTCCAGCCAGGCTCCACCTCCAGACAGCACACTTTGAACTCCTCAGTGGATGAATCGTTGATGAGCATGTTACCCCTGAGATCCAGTCACCTTCCAAAAGCCCCAACTCCGAATGCATGAGGCCTTTGGGGGGCACTTCAGACACAGACCATAATAGTCCTCATCCTTCAGACTGCAAAGGAGAACACAAGACTCAAGTAACAGAAAACATCACAGACTTCACTTGGAGCTGAGTCCCCATTGAAGGATCTGAGTTGAGAATTTGCACTACTAACAAGTCAAGATGCCACCAGTTGCTCAAGTCCGTACACTCAGGTGCATTTTCTCACAGCTCCCATGCAAACCAAGGGAGGACATGTTTGGCAAAAGAAAAAAGCTGTATTCAACGCTAGCTCGGAGGAGAACGAGGGGCTCATGTTCCTACAAATCATCATCTCACTGTTCCCTCAAGTGCGAGAGTCTTTAGAGTAAGGAAGAGAAAGGAGAGGGAACACAAGGAGACAGTGATAATCCCACACTTGCCTCCTCCCCTCCTGGAGTGGACCCTGGCCTCCTGGGGCCAGCATCTCTTGCATATTCCATCCATTCCTTGGAGCTGAGGAGAGGAGAGGGCCATGGTTATTCCCTAGGCCTGAGGAGGTCTGGAGAAGCAGCTGTTTCTAAAGGGAGCGTTCTAATTTTAAAGTTTCATGTTACCTTATTGCTTATAAGGAGGTTAGAAGGGACCAAAGCTACACCGAGTTAAGAAAGCCCTTTCATGGAAAGGAAATGTGATTGGGTAAAATTGGAGGGAATCAGTAAGATCACAATAAGGGAGAGGGACATTGTTCAGGCAGGAGAGTTCGCTAGAGCTGCATTATGAGGTGAAAACAATCTACAAGCACAGGGGGCTTGCACAGTCCGGTTTGATCAGGACAAGAAGTTCAAAGGTTAGATATTTGAAGATCTATTTTAGGCCTAGTCCCAGACTTGAATTCAAGAGTTTCTTTTCAGCAGCACTGGTGTGGGGCCCAACACCAAACATTTTCTTTAACTGTATGCAGCTCTTTGTAAAAACATGTACTTCTCCAAAAGGTGACCTGTACTCCATAGTGACCGTGTGTGTAAGGAGCAGGAGGTGGAGTCCAGTACGTAGAGTGAAATCGTCGTAGTGCCATTCATGCAGCCAACTTCTAGTGCCCCTTGGCCGGAAGAGGATGTGTCACCCCAAACAGGATCAGAGGAGTGGCCCTCAGCCTGGGAGAATCATTCATGGGCACCCCGAGGTCTCTCCTACAGCACTGATGAAATCTCTGCAGTCTACAGAACAGATGGAGTTTAAGGGCATTCTGTCAAAAATCACATTAAATCCGTGTTGGACTTGGGGAAAAGGGAAACTGTTAGGTTAAGTTTTCAAATGGCAAATTTGTCCTGCAAGAAAATAAACCTGAGCGATGATGCGCTTCCTGATTATTTTATGTCTGTATTATCATCGTGTAATGATTTTAATTGTTCATTCCAAGTCCCAAAATAATGAAAAACACAAAACATGCAAGTATAGTACATTGGAGAATCGTGTACCTGTTCTCCGTCTATCTCAGAAGAAATTTAAATGAGAAGAGGGAGCTAGGGAAGGGGAAGGGATGAGAAGGAAGGGAAAAAAAAAAGAAAGAAAAAAGTGGAAATAAAGCTTTGCAAAGAAGAGGAAGAGAGGCTGAAGGGAGGGGAGAAGAATGGAAAGAAGAATCGAGGTAACGTCCTGTGCAGGGACAAATGACCTGTGATGAACGTGGTCGGTGTGTGGATCTAAAACGTACGGACGCAGTCATTTAATTTAAAAAGTAACACAAAAGCAAAGTACCGGTTCCCCATGTGCCCCTGAGGAGACGCGGCTTTGGAAGTGTGATGATAACTGCAGCATTTACTTGCTCGATCGTGGGCGCGGAGCCGTACGGCTACAGTGTAGGGCACTGCAGAGAGGAGAGGTGGTCCAGTGGGCATGGAGGGCACAGGTCGCTTGTGCGCAGGGTGGCGAGGCCCGCCCAGAAGTCCGCTCCCATCTTCCCACCCCTGTGTGTTCACTGCTTAGGTAACATAGCCGCACAGATCCCTGTGCTCTATGGGTCCGTTACTCAGCCTACTGTTTGTATCCCATTTAAAAGTATCCTTAACTGTGGTGTCGTCAAAACAGTTCCTTGACGAGAGGTTTAGTCCTTAGTTCATTTATTCCAAAGGACCAGCAGTATATTTTTGTCAGTTACATGTATCCTCTGGTCCATTTTATTACTGCCGTCCTTTCTGTTCTTAGAAAACCTACTAAGATTGGTTCTAGGAGTTCCTTTTTGACTCGTGCTTGAGGGATTTACAGAGAGCGTATACCCCAGGTTTAGGAGACGCCAGCAGCACTGGGTCTGCAGACCGAGCCTGCACAGAATACGCTTTGGTGAAATCAGGCTCCACCACGAGCTGGCTGGGTCAGCTTGGCCATTCGCTGATGTGCCCCACCACCCAGCTCCCCAGCAGCAGACAGGGAGGTGGATACTCCTCACACCGGGCTGTGGGTTCCCGGGAGGACGACCATGTGTGCTGCGAAAAGCACCTGTAGCCACCCTTGGCATTGTTATTAGACTATCCTTGATTAAATTTGCCAGTATTTGTCAGCAATATGTCATATTGTTTTAGGAACTAGCATTTCCACAGTCATCAGAGAGCATTTCGTCTTTTTTTCTTAAGTATTCACCCTTTTTTTCAGTTTCTTTTCTTGGCCCAATTTTCTGTTGTATTTCCATCTTATCAATTTTCAGGAGTCTATTACAAACTGCTGAGAATTTATGATTCGACGTGCCGCTTAGTCCCCTTCTCACTTTGCTTGTCGTGTTTTTATTGCTAGGCACTTGACTAGGAGCTCTTAAATTTAGTGTAGTGAGATTGCCCCATGGTGCTCCTTAGGGTCTAATATCTGTGAACCCCTCTTGCTTCCTCCTAGTTCACGAGAGTAGGATTGCTTATAGACATAAGCGTTCCAAACTCTGCTGTCCAGATTTGGAATTTGGGTTCACACCTAATTAATTCAGGTGTGGGGTGTGAGGTGGGCGTGGCCATCTCTTCCTTTTCAGACAAAGGAGGGAGGTGGTCCCCAGCCCCATCCTGGGCGTGGAAGCTGCCTGTGTCGGGTGCTCTCAGCCTCTGTGGCTCACTGTGGCAGGCTGGTGAGGCCGGGAAGCAAGGGCAGGGGGCCTATTTTCACAACCGCTCAATTATGCAACACAAGCCCTGCTTCAGAAGCGGCGCCTCCCTGCATACACGCTCCCCTGCCCAGACCTGGCCACCTCCTCACAGTGACCACGGGGCGTGGCTCAGCCTGCTGGTGTCGCCCAGTGCTGGAAGCGGCAGCCTGTGCTTGCCAGTGTCTGATACCTGCCACCCACTTTGTGAGACTCTTATTTCTTGTAGCTGTAGGTCATTTATTTGACTTTTAAAAATTCTTCTCCTGAATAAATAATTGTAATTTTATGTAAACTTTGCAGTTAAAGCATTCAAGCCACCCTTTTCCCTCCCTTACTATAATTTGCTGCAAGGTCTGCGTCGTCTCCGCCATGCCCGGTGCAGACACGGTGCAGAGCCTGGGCTCTGGAATCTCCTTCTGTCTGGGGACGGCCAGGGTCTCTCAGCTTCCCAACCATGATGTCCTGAGATAACAAGCAGTTATTTTATAAAATAAAAGTTAAGTTTGCCTGGCGTTTCTTCACCACCCCAAAGGCCTTTTATGTTCAGTTTTTAATTCTAATGTAAGGGCATTCACTAGAAACTGAGGACTGAGACCTGCCAGCAGAGAGTCACTGTGGCAATCGCAAATCATCCTTTCAGTGGAATGAAGTTCATTACTTTTCTGTTTTTCCAAGAAACCTGTTGATTCCTGTGTGACTCAGCCTCACTGGCCTTCTTTTGCTCAGGTTTAAAATGCTTGCTGAATTGTGTTATTGACGTTCGATGCTGCTAGAGAAATCCTTTGATGTGAATAACCGAGGTTTTAGCTTACTGCAGGGATCTGTAGTAGAGTGGCTTCTTCTTACCAGCAGAATAATCTAAAGCTGTGGACCGAGAAGTGAGGACCAAAGCCACAGAGTGTCCCCGTTCCCTAGTGGGAGGGACTCCTGGGTGCTGCATGGCTTCTGCTGAGCTGCAACATCAGAGCGCTGGGCTTTTGTCACGTGTGGGACGCGGGTCAGGGCCCAGGCGGGGTGCGACGTTTCCACAGCCGGGTGCTTCTCGCCGTCCAGGTGTCGCAGCTGTACCTGAGCCACACGGGGACCCCCTGCCCCTCGCTGCCCCCCCACCTGTTCTGCTGTGCCGAGCGTGCAGTGCACCAGCTGTTCCGGGACCGGAGGCTGCAGTGCTTTGTGCTCAGGTGAGTCTTGCCCATGGCCCACGCAATGTGGCCACGATGCGGCCAGAGTCCTTTCCACCCCTCCCCGCTGCTGGCTCGTAGCCTTCTCCACAGCCAGGCCCCTCTCTCTGCCCTAAGCACACTGACTTGTGACAGCGCAGGAGCCTCGCTCTGTCCCAAGGAGCCCCAAGGGGGCAGAATCCGTGCCTGTGAGTTTAGAGCGAAACTAACATCAGTCTGGAGATTTACAGACTAGAACCACAGCACTTCTCTCCTGCCTGAGAAGCCTGGAGAAAGGGAAGCTCCCGGGCCAGTGGGCCGAGCCCCTCAGCATGCAAACGGAGGCAGCGGGTTTCTTTGCAGAAGAATATTTTCCTGTCAGACTCCTGCGAGGAGCTTTTGCCTGACACGTAATCGTGATTTTCACTTTATTGATTCACATGGGACCAAAATCTCTTCCAAGATAACAGAGGGCTAACAGGGGAAGAAGGGCTGACATATAGTTACATAAGGAGAGGACTGAAGGAATATTTAAGTACTAGAATAAGACCTGCGTCAGAGAACTGTCTTCTATGTTAGGCCAGACTCTCGCAGAAGGAGAGGTCTGCAAGTCCTCCTGTCCTTGCCTAGTGGTCAGTGGGGTCAGCTGGACCCAGACCATGGATGGAAGGTGGTTCACAGCCCATGCTCGTCCGACATAAGATGGAGTACAGACAGCCGGACGGAAGGACTTACACACGCACTTCTTTGTGGTCTTCTGTACATTCCTTGTCTGTGAGCCCAGAGGTCAAGGGAGCCAAGGGGACTGAGGTCCGGAGCCGCCCTCTGCCTCCACCCCGTGGGTCCTGGCTGACTTAGAGGCTGTCTTCGTTCCTACCAGTGTGTTGGAGTCAGTCGCGTGGGACTCGCTGGATGAGCTGTCCGCACAACATTCCAGGGCTTCGGTAGTCCCAGAAGTTGCCTTAGAAAGGGTGATTCAAGATTTGAGGAACAAAGCTTGGGTGTCCCCGGAACAGATGTCCCATTGCCAGAAAATCTTCAATTTTCTTTTCAGATTTTACTTTTAATATCTCGTTTTGTAGATAACATTAGGTGCTGATGGTTAAAATGTTTTAAGGTCAGCGCAGATGAGAGGAAAAAACTCATTCGTTAGCAAGTTGAGACTTAAATAATTATTTCACTCCAGGAAAATAAACACCCTTTGACCAGATTCATTAGAGTAAATGTTCCAACACAAGAACCTAAGAAAGGGCTAGTAAAAGAACTTCAAGAAATAAGATTATTTCATTACCAGCTAACAACTAAAAAATGAGTTTTCCACCTGAAAGCACAGATAATTTTATGATGTATCAGATCACTCTGGTAATTATTGCATAGGAATATTATGGTGATTTGGCCTTTTCTAGTGCAGGAATAGAGCTCAGATGTTGTTTGTAGAAATCGGATAAATTTACGTGGGGTGCCTGACAGGTGTCCGAGTGTTGTCTCCGGAGATTCTGAGTTGAGTTTGTGATAAGCCAGATCACAGAGGTGCAAACCAGAGAACCCCAAGCCTGGGAAGTCCACAAGGGCTCTGCCCAGTGGAGACCTGAGCAGCACGGCATGAACAATTTCTCTCTCCAAAAGAAGAGGTGCTCTGAAATATGGGGTAACTACCGAGGAAGATGAGTATCCTTCCCAGGGGGTTCTGGGGGACGTCACGCATTCCCTGAGCCAGTGCTAGGTAGCTCTGGGGTGGCCATGCTTGCTGCGCCACCCCCTGAGCTCTAAGACCCTGGATGCCAGAAGTCACCTCCCTCTGGCCTGCTGTCCCGTCTACGCACCTGTGACCCAGGACTCACGTTGCTCCCTAACCTTGATGAATGCGTCAGATGACGGAGCGAGGCCGCAGCACAGACGCGCTGTGTCACCATGCTCCCCTGCCAACTCTGCGTCTGAGAATTGCCTCAGCTTCCTTAATTTCCTTTTCTGTCTTCTCCAAAACAGTGAGCTCACCTCTTCCCTCTTTTCTCTAGTGGGGAGAGAGGATCAGGGAAGTCAGAGGCCAGCAAGCAGATCGCGAGACACCTGAGCCTCCGAGCCATCTCTGGCGGGGCCCTGCTGGACTCCAGGCTCAGACACGTGAGTCGCTTGGCAGGTTGGCAGGTGTGTGCGTGTGCGCGTGTGTGTGAGGCCAAGAAAAGTGGCACTTTCAAATGGGCATCATGGGTAAAGGTGATCACAATTGTGGGGAAAACACACACACACAAGATGGAGCCCTGGTGCCATTTAATATTGTTCAAGTGAATTTTAAAATGTATTGATAGATACTTTGAACATACTCCTTTTTTTTATATTTCCTCCGGTCACCTGGTCACCATGCATTAGTTGGCAGCCAGAGTTTTTGCTATAGAATTTGCTGTGTTGGTCCTTCTGGTGAGACCAGCCTCAAAGCCAGTGGTGGTGGGGAATTTTTAAGAGCCGATCTTAAAATTTCAAAACTCTGGTGGTGCTGACAGCGGCAAAGGGGGAGGCAGGGACAGGTGGTGGTCATAGTTGGTGACAATGCAGCGCCTGGGTTCTGTTCCTTCCTGTGTGGAGTAGGGCCAGGACATCCCCATCCTGCCCAGGGAAGAGAAGAAGCTGCAGCTCAGGCAGCCTCCTCCTCACACCACTGCACAAGCTTTGTTCCTGCCTCCTGGACCACGCAGGAGAAGAAACAGGGCAGGCAGCTCCTGCTGTGGACCAGGGACCCTCAGAGGGCCAAGGGAGGCCCGAGCCCAGGGACCTCATGGAAGTCACCGGGGCTCCTCTGCTACTCTGGTGGCCTGACTGCCACCGTAGTATCTCCCTAAGCCGCTCTCCAGGCCCGGGTGGGGTGCAGGGCTGTGAGCAGACCCGCTGCTCCCCACGTGGCCTGCGATTCAGTGATACGGGGACTGTGGCTCCCAGCCTGGCCCTCTGCCCCTCCTGGCATGTACAGGCCTGGCTCCGCCTCCCATGGTCCAGGCTGGCGACCTTGGGGCCCCCTTCACCCCACTCAGGCATGATGGACACGGGTCCTCTCGGCAGACCTGGTGGACAAGGACGAGGCCCCTGAGGAAGGGAGGGATGGATGAGGATGCCAGTGTCTGCTCAGGGCACAGCACAGAAGCGGGCACACTTGGCACAGGAAGTCAGCCTTGCACGCAGCCAAGACGACGCCCTGAGGAGACCAGAGATTCTTTGTGGGCTGCAGCTCTGCACCTCTGTTCCTGCTTACCTCCTGCACCTGCACAATCTGCAATCCACAGGCAGGCGACGCGCTCCCTCATGCTCCCTGTCCGCCCCACGCAGGACCCGGCTGGGGACCTGGGCCTCGCTCTCCCAGTCTTCAGCCTCTCACCCCGCCAAGCCCAGGATGCTCTACGCCTGCTGCTGTGGTGCTGCCTTAGCCTGCTGCCTGAGTGTACGAGTGACTACAAGGATAGAAGGCTCTCTGAATGTCCTACGTTAACTTACCCTGATATCAGCAAATAAATCCAGTGCAGATTTCCACGTAACCAGTTCCAGTGTATGCTGAGAGTGAGTGAGTCCCGTGGCTGGGCGTTCTCCTGCATGGACCATACTTGCCCTGCTTTTATTAAGAGTGGGAACTGTCAGCCTTTCTTCCATGTTTTATATCTCTGTATTTTAGCTCAGGCATAGCAAAGACGTGTTTACAGTCTCGGGGCAAAGACTATTAAATGTGAGTGTCAAGAATCCGTTCCATTGTGCTCAGAAATCCTGTTCGGTTCCTCCTGGTTAAGACCGACCGACCTGCTCAGGGCGACGATCAAGGAATGATGTACATGTGTGCTTCATCCTTTCCTTCAGCGCAGACGAACAAGGAAAAACAACAACTGAGCCACAACGCACAATGCGTTGCGCACATCTCAGTTGTGAGTCCCCAACTTCCCGGTGAGGCGGTGCCCTGGCCAGTTCCTGGGTCCCCCGCCCCGAGCGTGGGCTGCAGAAAGACACCTGCTGTCACACACCTGGGGACCAGATGGAGTGGGGCCGGGCAGCCGCACCAGCTGGAGGACAGCGGGGTTCCTCACCTGAGAAGCCTGAAGTGTAAACAGAGCGAAACAAGAGCTACTGGGATGTGGGGAGATGGGTCTTCTGCAGATGGAGAGAGGGCTGGAGGGAGGGAGGGGAAAGGGACATAGGGAGAACCGGGTGTGTGCTGCCCCCGCACCAGCTCCCCACAGGAATGAAAGCCCCCTGCGCTGTACACGTGGACTGGTAAAGCTTCAGAAAGGACAGCCGCCTGCATTCGACTCAGAGACCCCAGCTGAAGGTGTGGGTAGAGTGGATACAGCAGCTGCTGTCACTTCAGATCACCCCCGACAGCCACGCCTATCCGAAAGGGCACGGCCTCCAAGTCTAGACACCCAGGCCTGCCTGCGGGTGCTGCCTTTGTTTTCTGGCCACCGGCCCTTTCCATGGGCTCTGAGGAGCAGAGCTAACCCACTCTGAGGTAATCAGACTCTGATGCAATCACGCCAGCCAAGGAACCTTTTAGGAGCTCATAGCATCTGATTCTGCATTTACAAATCAAGAGGCTTCAGTTTAATCACTGGATTCGGATCTTTCCTTCATACTTTTTGCTAGCTCACGTCTGTCGTGCGTGGCACTAGGTTTCAGTGTGACATTATTAGTGCATGCGTGTGGCACACTTGGCTCATTTCCAGCCCTCTTCCCTCTCTTCCTCTCCTGGTTCCTTTCCTCCTTTCTAATAGTCTCCCCTCTGCTTCCACATCATCTCTTCCCCTTACACTGTGGGTGCTACTTACACATCTCTAAACATTTAGATCTCCCCGGTGGGTCCCTGTGCGTCTGCTTGAGTCTGGAGGCTTTTCTCAGAACAAAGGACAATCGTGAAGTCAGCTCTGCAGCGTTGTCTGGGCAGCACTGCGCTTTGTGGCCATGTATTAGGCTCCTGGCCTCGGGAGCATTGCAGCGTTCTGCAGCACAGCTCAGAAGAGTGGAACAGCAGCAATGGGGTCAGCGTGCAAGGAAGAGTCCCACTGGTGTCTCCGTCACGTGGTAACGTTCTGACTGCCGATACTTGGGTCAGAGCATGAGTAGGACGCCATGTTCAGAACATAAGGCAGGTTCACGGGTGGAAATAACAGAATCTGTTAACTTGGTTGAAATGAATAAGAATAATAGTTTCCCTTCTGAATTAGAGACTAAAGCATTCATTTGTTAAAATGATCATTTAAGATGGCAAGCTGTACACACCTGTAATCCCAGCACTCAGGAGGCTGAGGCACGAGGATCGCTGTGAGTTCGAGACCAGCCTGGGCTACATAGTGAGTTCCAGGTCAGTGTCAACTATATGGTGAGACCCTGTCTCAATAAACAAACAAACAAACAAACAAAACAGACAGCAAGCTGTATGTTCTGAGAACGCATTCTGCATGACTTCCTGTAAACTGGCTTTGCATTTTTGCTCAAGTGAATGTGTTCTAAGTTGCCTTCCCTCAGACAGGAAGATACAACTCCTGCAGTATAAATTTCAAGGAAAGTTATTCGTTTGTTTATTCATCCCCCATGAGACGTGAGCGATATTGTAAATAAATTATTGTAAAATCATGACGAAGTACTGTTCAGGTTTAAACACGGCTTACACTCCCTATCAGCCATGGTTTTTGTTTTCCTTTTACACTGCCGTCCAGTGGATCTCATCCCGTGTCTAGGAAGTTCATGAACATTACTCAGCCACGGCTTCGTAGAACATCCAAGTGTGTCAGCGGGCGCTGAGCGCACGGATGTACGGATGTGGGTGGTGATGAGAGCTGGAAACCCGGGTGCATTTAGGAGATGCCTGGGGCACTGCAGGGAAGAAGAGCTGACGGAGGGAAGGGCCGGAGACAGTGCCCATCGCAGCCCACAGCACATTGGAGAGCAGCAGTCACCAGGCTCCCCCGAGGAGGGACATGAACCTGACACCCAGTGGTCAGGCCAGGCCACCTTCCACGGGAGGTGCCTGGCAGGGAAGCGGACCCATGAGGCCTGCAGCAGGCAGCCTTGGACAACCGAGGTTGTGCTGGGCCGGCCCCACCCTGCACCCTGAGTTCTGGTATCAAGCCCTGGAAGCAGGAACTGTGCGTAGTGTTAGAATTGCTGGAACAGAAGAGTCAAGTTTTGGAAAGAAGCTGACTTGGACTTCCGGTCCATCCTGGCCCGGTGGATTCCAACTGTAAAAAACAGCTTTTGATTCCATGTGCATCGTGAAACCAGCATTAATTTGAGCAGCAGCTTTCACAGAGCAGAATGTTCAGCTCAATTTGAAGGATGGAGAGTTAATTTTTACAAAGGAGGCCACAGGTCTTCACTTTTAGAAAACAGAACACGGGGGTGTGGTGGTGCGTGCCTCTGATCCCACCACTTGGGAGGCTGAGGCAAGAGGATTGCCACAAGTTTGAGGCGAGCAGCCTGGACTACATAGTGAGCTCAAGGCCGGCCTGAGCTACCTATAGAAACCCTTCTCGAAAACAAGCAAGCAAACAAAAAACAAGACAGATCCATGGCTACTGTGATGGCAAGTAACCGTGGAGATGTAGACCCTGCAGTATGAATGGAAAACATTGCACCAATAAAATGGGAATCATCTTCTTGAGCATGTACATATCTGCTTCCCTTCACTTATATTTTTATTTAAATGTTAATACTATGCGACATTCTCATCATTTCGTTTCAGGGGCAAGGCCAGCAGGTGAATCATGCCAGTTTCGTGTTTTCTTGGTATTTCCCCCAATGCCTTTACTCAGTGCTGGCCTAGTGCTGGCCCTCCTGCCTGTTGGCCAGTAGTGGAGATGATAACCACTCTGGTTATTGCAGCATTCAGGGTTTTAATCTCTGTTCTGCAAGAGCAGGGTGCAGGGAAAGCAAACCAGGAGGGTGCTGCATTCTGCTGGCGATCTCTGCTCTGCAGGAGTGTCACCCTGGAGGGCCCTGTAGTTACTGTAGCGGGGCAGCTCGGCTGCCCGCGTGGGCCTGCGGCTCTGCAGAGAACCCAGGATTCAGCACCCGGAGCTCTGAGCCTCGGGAAGACCATTTAGTCTGCTTGCTTGTTTGTGAAAGGGAGACCCCGGTGGGAGGAGTGCACGAGATCTCACACGCAGTGCACACATGTGCGTGCTCACCTGTGCGTACACCTAGGTGTTCCCGGGCGTGCAGCGAGCACAGAGAACCCTGTTTGTCGCCGGAGCCAGTGTGAGGTGAAGGGCACTCGCTGCCAGATGCTCGCCCTGCAGGTGCAGGGCCGCCCAGCCGCCTCCCCACATCAGCGTCAGTGGGGAGTGAGGCCCAGAGGGGCGCCTGTGTGCTGTGTCTCCTGCGCTGCACCTGGGCAGGGCCGTGGATAGCTCGGCGCCCTCCTCACAGGATGACTGAGACCTCACTTTCCTGCCAGAGCAACTAGGAAGCCGGGGGTGGTTAAAACTCACCCTACCTCGGAACTTCACAACAACTGTGTGACACCATCCGCTGCATAATTCGTAAGTTGCAGTGTGAATTCCACTGTGCATCTACGCATTTGGCTTTTGCAAAAGGAGCACAAATATATCCACTAAGCACTAATTCACATTTTCTTCTGAAAACATTTCTGTCATCACTGCTATCAATTAGCACTTAATCGCCTTTAAAATCGCTGCACGCTGCCCAGATCATAGGGTTTCATAGAGACTTGATGTGTGCTGCTCTCCAAAGGCACAGACTGCATAACAGACAGCTGACTGCACTTCACTCACAGAACCTTTAGCGGATCTGATTTTGGATTAGCATCGGTGTTGTATGAGCTTCTATAATATAGAACACTTCCCGGAGAAATGAATCCCTGGGGTTAGCAAATGTCAAGAAATTGAGAAGTAGAGTCAAAGCACACTTTAAAAATGTCTAATTCCTCAAAAATTATGGGGAACAGTACAGTGTCCTCAAAAGGTGAGGTGGTGCTCCATCTTGTGGCTGACATAGAAACTGCAGTTAACCTCTAACCCTGCGAAATCACCGTGACCCTTCCAGATTTTCAAACTTTTTGGAGAATTGCTTGGTTACCATCACTATCGACAAACTGGCTTCGAGGACATGGCTTCTCTTCCATGACCAATGTCCAAAAGAATATCAGAACTGAGGGTTAATCTGAGGAACTTTATTCTTAGCCTTTTGAAGCCGTGAGCTTTGCCACCTAAGAACACAGGCTCAGGGCAACGAGGATATCACCTACAGAAGCCTGGACCAGGCCTCTGCTTCCTGCCTCTGGGGAGAGAATGTACCATGTGTGTGCGTGTGTGTGTGTGTGTGTGTGTGTGCGTGCATGTGTATAGATTTCCTCCACTTAGGTGGAGTGAGGAGCCTGCATGTCATTTTAGTAAAAGTGGCTACAATTGGAGACGCCATGTACAGTGCGAAGACTTTGCATTTGGACAGAGTTATGTGAAACATTTAACGTGGTATTAAAAGAATTAGTCATGGTGGTGCCTGCCTGTACTGTAATGTGACACTCTGGTAGGCTGAGGCAGGAAGATTGCAGGTTGAAGAACCGTCTGGGCAACTTGGCAACTTTTTGAGACCCTGTGTCACATAATGCTTTTAAAAGGCAGGAGCTAGGGATGGAGAGAGAGATAGAGAGAGGGAGACAGAGAGAGAGAGAGAGAGAGAGAGAGAGAGAGAGAGAGAGAGAGAGAGACAGAGAGAGAGAGAGAGAGAGAGAGAGAGAGAGAGAGAGAGAGAGAGAGAATGAATATACGCGTGCAGATAATGGAGAATTCCCTACGTCTTTGTTATTACTCCCATTTCATTTTTTAAGTGGGTGGTTTAGTAGGAATTCTCTCTCCTGTTGCAGGTCATGTGCATCTTAGAAGCCTTTGGACATGCCAGGACACCACTCAACGACCTGTCCAGTTGCTTCATAAAGTATTTGGAAGTACAGTTTAGTGAGACCAAGAAGCAAGCGACTGGAGGTAAGTGTGCAGCTGGAGAGGCAGGCTTCCTGCACCGCTGGAGGGTGTGCATGGGGCCCCAGCACACACCCTGTGGGGGCACAGGCGGGAGAGGCCAACAGTGAACCTTCAGGGGCGCAGGAAGCCTACTGTTGCTGGGTGTGTGGTGATGAACTTGCTGGGACGTCTTGGAAAGCTTTTATCATCCTATTAGGAGGATCGAGACTCGGGTGCACGGAGGGGCGTGTTACACGGGGGGTGCGCAAGTGTGTACCTGGGGCTGAGGTTGTGAATTCCAAATGTAATGTACTCTTAAATGCAAAGTGAATCTTTTTCTGATGATTACTGTATAAACTGTGTGATAGGAAACCAAACCCAAGCCAGAAATAGCTGGAGGGAATCATACTTGTTGAACATGAAAGCGAATTTAAATACTCAAATAAATCTTAACCTTATTTAGTTACTTCACTCAACACACAGTGAAATCTATTTTAAATAAAACAATCTATTTTAAAAATGACTGAATTAGAACAAATCAAAACATTAAAATAATCAACAGTGAAATTTAAACGGAACCTATTTCTTGTTTGAGTTAAATATTTAATGTTTGTTTTATGAAAATTCTTCATTTAAAATTCAGCTAATTTAGAACCCACCCAGGATTTTATATCTTTCCAATCATGCAAATTAATAATACAAACACAACTGTGGATGGAATACCTAATCTACATGGAGAAATCATCTACTTTTACAACTTTTGTAAGAGCTGTAACGAACATTTGCTAATTATAAATGATTTTTGAAAGCATTCAGTTGCATTTAGCTTTTTGACTACCTTCCTTTCTGGAAAGTTAGTTTTTACTGTAATTTAGTATTTGTCAGCTTTTCATCAAATATCAAATACCTCAGAAAAACACTGAAAGGAGGGAGGATTATTGTGGCTCACGGTTTCAGAGGGTTCAGTGTGTGGTGCCTGGCTAGCGCCAAGAAGAGACATCACGATGGAAGGGCTTGGCAGAGGACAGCCGCTCACTCACAGCAAGCAGGACCAGAGGGTGAGAGGAGAGCTGCAGAGAGACCAGGGATCTAGGGACAGAATATGCCCTTGCAGAGCACATCCCCTGCTCCTCCAGCCAGGCACCACCTCCTGACACAGTCAGCTGCCAAGCCACCCGCGGATTCATCTGTTGACGAAGTTTGTACCGCAGGATCCAGTCATCCTGCAGAATCCCCACCTGTGAACACATGAGCCTCTTGAAGGATATTTTTGATCCAAATCATAAAATCTAGAAACAAAAAGAGCTTTATTTTGAAGCAAGTGTAGGTAGAAATCTAATTTCTGCTAAATGAAACTTGATGAGTAACATGCAAAGGCGGAATGAGAAGCAGTTGTTTTAAATGTGGCATTCAAGTGCTGCAGGGAGAGAGTTATCATCACTGTTCCCCTGAGTCAGTCCTGAAGGCCATCGTCTAGGAAGAGCCCAAGAGGACCGTCTTGAGCCCTGGCCTGGACACCCAGCATTCACACTTCTGCCCGGAACAGGCCCAGACCCGCTTTCAAAGAGGAGCACAGCTTGTTCTTGCTCTTGCTCCAGTGACAGCTGGGGGGCCACGGGCTCTGGGTCCGAGGCCCAGAAGGCTGTGTCCTGGCCTCTCACTCTGGGGTGGCGTGGCTGTAGCTGTGACCCACGAGCGTCCTGACTGACCTGAGTCTGTGCCAGTCCTGAGCCCGAGGGCTTGGCTGGGCTGCATTTCCCTCAGCCTGCTCTGTACCCGGCGGAGGTGTACTGGTGGCCCCTGACGGTGGCACCTCTCACGCCTCCAGTTTTCCTTTCTTGTATCTGGGCGGTGAATGTGTCCCTGTCTTCAGGAACGTTCACTTAGGAAATAGTGGTATATACATACGAAAGAGAACCGGACAGCCTCGGCAGACCCCAGGCCACACCAGTCACCCACAGACACCACCAGCTGGCAGCTTGTGGCCGCACACCAGTGGGACGCTCGTGCACACCCATAGCCATGGACCTGTGAGTCGGAGCTGTGAGCGCAGTGGAGTCCGCGTGCTGTGCGGCAGGGTGCATTTTTCTCCTCGGGAACTGGAGCTGGGCTCGGGGAAGCTCTCCCTGCGCTGCTTTCTCCTCATTGTGCTCTACTTCACGGCCCCTTCACTGCTGCTCATCCCTGCTTGAAGGTTTCATAGCTTCCTCCTGTGCTCCTTTAAAAACTTCACCAGATGCTTCAGTGATTATCTTTATGGGTTTTTAAAGTTGAGAGCAGCATCACCGCTTGGGGGGAAGAAGCCGGTGCTGTGTGAGACTCGTTAATAAAAGTATATTCCGTGATGAGCTTGGGTCTTCAGGACACCCAGCGCCCTGAAATGGTCGCCTCAGAGCTCGATTCCTTGTTTCCTGTATTTAAGAGGAAACATCCAGAGGATGCCTTCCAGGGGCACAAAGCAACAGGCAGGTATTCTTGGGAAACGAGTGCCCTGGAAAAGGAAAAGCTTGGAGCTGCAGTGAGTGTCCTCGCCTCTCGAGTGCCGCCTGGAAGGGCCTGTGCTCAGGGGCGTTGTGTGCACTGCAAGTCCCTGCATCACTGGAACACCCACCCAGCTCAGAGTTGCTGTGGCAACCGCAGGACGGAGCCCCACCCAGAGTGCTCCTGACGACCCAGGACCGGGTGTCTAAAGACGCTCCGGGGGCCTCACACTCCTGGACCCAGCCATGGGACTGGGCCGCTTGGACCTGTCCCGGGTACCCTTGGCATGGAAGCCGTGGAGTTGGGCCCGGGAGCTTCAACATCCTGGCACTGCTGCCACAAGCTGCACAGACCAGGAAGAGCAAGAACGCGCGCTGCTGGCACGCTGGGGCTGCGGGTTCGAACTGTGGGCTCCGCACAGCCCTAGCTCACCTGCTGTCTCCAAGGAGGACACGTCCTGCCCGCCTGGGCTTCCCAGCGCTCACGGCTGTCCCTCAGTCCCTGGCCTGAAGATGGCCCGCTCCAGTCTCTGCCTCGGTTTGCAGTCTTCACCCTGTTTGTCTCTGCATCTCAGCCCTAGTTCCTCTGCTCTGGCCCTCCCCGCAAAAGTCCATGCACAGGGCTGGGGAGGACCTGCGGGCCCTTCCTGTGGGACACAGTGCAGCCCGCAGCAGAAAGTAAGGGAGACTTTCCTGTCCAGATGTACAACTGCTTGAGCACAAATGTCTTCTCAACTCAGAAAAATGGACAATGGACACTTGAAGAGCCTACTTCTGAATAGTCTGTTACCAAGAATCTTTTTTTTTTAACCAAAAGATGCATGAAACTATTCCACTTTTAAAGGTGGGCAGTCATTTGGATTGATCCCATGTAAAAGCTTTTTGAGTTTTAGTGTTCACTTAAATAGCTAACCAAGTTGCAGTAGGGCTATGGTAGGAAATGCAGGTTGAGTACATGTGGGAAACAGATTGATTTTCTTCAGAAAGACTGTTACTTCCTTAAATTATCAACATGTATAAAACCGTTCTTACCATTTTATTAGACAGGGGCATTACTGTACTAATTTAAGATGGATAGATGCTGTATGTTTTCTTTACTCTGACTCCTACAGGGCTACCTCCATTCACAAATTTACTTCTTTCTGAGATTCATTTGCAACCAGAATCGTGGATAGAATTAAGTTCATGAACCCAGGTAGCATCGTCATGATACTTTATGATTTAGTGACATTTCTTTCTCAAGGACAAAAACCACAAATAATAACAGAAAATATCAGGCCTAGTTTTGTGGAATGCTAGCTACAGAAAAGTTCAGAATGTCTCTATTTCAGAGAAAATGTAATTAATAAATAGCATTCTAAGCTGGCATTGGGCCCGGTATATTTCCTATCTGAACATTTATTTAATAAGGGATAATTCCTGTCCCCATGTATGTTCCCGCAGGCTTCACAGTGCAGTGACTTATAAAGTACCTGCTGTCACCCACAGACAAGTTTATAGGAGGTCAGTCCAAAGGAGGAGGAAAACTTTGCCTAAAAGCCTTAGTGTTGGTCACTCACGACCTCTCATTTGGGACTTGCGCTGATTTGCCAGGCCTGCTATCCCCGTCCAAGAGGCTTTGTTTAGCGCTGAGGTTTACGTGGCCTGAGGCACAAAACCACTGGTGAAGTAACGCAGAGGCGGTGACAGCCACCACATTCCCAGGGCGCCTGTTCTTTTAAGGAAATGGGAACAGAGGTGGGATTCACTCCACACCCCACGCAGACCTTTACAGAGTGCGTGGAACTGTGGTCAGAGCAGAGCGGACTTCCAGACTGAGCAGCAGAGTCATTCTCACCATCAGCACGTGGCTTCCTCGTCCATGATCTTCGAAGCCTGTGAGGACATCTTCGTTCTCATAGCACCCAGGTGGCTCTCGGTCATCTACTTCAGTTGCCTCACAGCTGCCGAGTCTTGGGAAGTAGAAAGCAGGCTCCCGCAGTCTCCTCTTGAGGCTGCTGTGGTGGAAAGGGGCCGGTGTGGATTTCACGCCTGAGGAATGGGTGCATTTTCCTCCGCTGTAGGATTAGAAAACTGAGGACTCTGCACCCACCTGTGTTCCTTCCCACTGTTTCATTCGATTGGAAATGAACCACTTTTGAAACATTTCTCAGTCTAACAGAACTGTGAGGCCTAAACACAGTCATGTCTGCAAAGAACAAAGGCCTGTGGGCAAGATGATCTGGCAGAGAGAGCATCTGAGAACCTAGTACTCAGTCCCGATCTTACTGGCACCTACAAGGCCCAAATCAACCAGTTCTCTTACCCAGGTGAATCTGCTCAGGGAGTGACAGCTTACTTTTCAACCTACGAAGCAGTCTCTTCTTCTGGAATATTTATAATTGAAGAAAAGAATACTCACCAAAGACCCACGGACCTTCCGAAAGTCGTCCCCGGAAACACAGGGCTTTACTGTCCTACGTGGCTGCTGTGCAGGATGGATGGTCTTCAGTGGTCCTGTTTCCTTGCCTTGCCTTTTCTATTGAAACCTGACCTCAGGGGTCCCCCAGACAGACCACAGAACACACAGAGAAGGAGCAAATCAGCTTTGGCTGGTGGCTTCAAGGGATTCAGCTCACCTCGAAAGAATTGAACAGAGGTATACTTCCATTTTTATACCTTTATGTTCATTGGGGGGAAGGAACAGCAACCACAATCACTGGGGAAACAGCCATCAGTCTAAGCATAATTACACAAGCAGAGGGGCAGTGAAGGAGTAGCAGGGGGTTTGGCAGGGCTTTCTGAGATCGCCTTGCTCTAGTGAGTTTGCATTGCAGCAGTGGCTGTAGTTATAATACATCTTAGCAAGCATAGTTATGGTTAAGCCATAGCTGCCCACTTTTACACCAGGAGACGGTGTCCACCCTAACTGTAAAGCTTTCTGGTGAAGGACTGAAGGAAGAGGGCTGTCCCTGAGGGCAGACCTTTCGGCACCCCAAATGTGCACAGCCAAATCCATGGCTCCAGAGTGCAATTAGCGAGGCCAAAAGCAGATGTCATTGTGAACCCAAGTTCCCCAGGTCCCTGGGAGGGGAAGGAAGCCATACCGAGAGCCGGATGTCCTAGGCCAGACCCTGGCCCTCCTCTCGAGCTGCGTAGCTTTGGGCAGCCGCTTGACTTTCTGTGCCTCAGTTTCCTCATTTGCAGTATGAGGATACTCGGCACCCCAAACTCTGGGTTCCCAGGAGGGTCAAATGTGTCAACATCGCTCTTTGAATCTCTTACCATTGTCTTGCTCTTTCCCTTTTATGCCACATCTTATATTCTTTCCCCTGATGTATGCTGGACTCACTGAATAGAGGGCAGAGGGGGACCAGAGCCCCCACAGAGAATGGGATAGTGTTGGCTTCTCTGTAGGCTGAAGACTCAAATTTACGCTGACAGTGACATGTACTCAGCACGGGAAATGCCTTCCAAAGAATGTGCCAAGGCTGGATTACCTCCTTAGGAAATATCGGTCAACCTTTAGCGTTAACCCAAATGAGATGGAAAACATATTAAGGTCTTTGCCTTGGATGTTGTTCCAAGTCCTGACTTTGAGATAAACCTGTTATATCAGGAGCACTGAATACTCATCTCCCTTATTCTGATGAGTCACCCTCAGCACGGCATTCTTCACCGGACACCTGTGCAGAAGTCCCAGTGAGATCAAGGACCTTGTCTCAAGGGAAGAGCAGGGCAGGAGGAGCCCTGGGCTCCGGTGTGCAGGGGACGGGGAGAACCGACAGGCAGTGTCTCACCAGCCCCACAGCAGGTGCTTTCCCTCGACGTGCAGGCAGATCTGCAGCATCCACATCTTTCCTCCCATGTCCGGGATGGGAAGAATCAAGCTGAGAGGGAGTGTGGATCGGCACGCTGAGGAGCAGGGCCAAGCCCTAGCTGTGCTTCCCACTTGAGCCCGAGTTTCCCCTGCACCACCCCAGGATGAGTGAGGCGTGAATAGGAGGCAGGAGGACATATGGGGGTGTGAGAGCAAGTGCCACCATCCCTGTGCCCAGGACGACTTCGGGGCTGCTCACTGAAGGCTGAATGTATCACTGGTGGGCGGGACGCCGGGAGTGGGTGTGGGGTTTTAGGGTCAGTGGGAAGGGCAAGGTAGGGATTCTTTCTTGGAGGAGAGAGAAGTTCATTTCCTTCACTTCTGTTCAAAACAAACTGATATAGTTCTAGAAAATGTCTGTATTGTCCATTATGTCCTCCGGTCTGCTGTCCAGTGTACTGTTTCAGTACAAAACAGAAACATTCACATGGATATTACTCACATCAGAGGGTTTTCAAAACCATACAGTCTTAAGAACTCAGCAGCATAGAGAATCCCCTTTGGCGTGTGCATACTCCCTTGCCCTGGTCTTGGAACCTCTCGGAAACCCAGTGTCTGTCCTTCATTTCAGACACACTGGAAAGGCCAGGTCTAGTCCCTCTGGAGCAGGAGGGGTCTGGGGCCGGTTTGAGTCGGCTTCTTCAAGGCTTCCTTTTCTGACATCTTACTGATCCAAATCCCACTGACCCACAGCGATTGCATTTGCATGAGAGGAGCTGACTAGCTCAAGTCACCGTGATGCGGCTTTTGAGTTCAGATGAAAGGTCCCGGAGTCCTTTGTGAGTGAGGCGGGGTCAGGTTAGCCCTGCACGCTGCCGGAGGGGAAGTGCTTGGCCGGTCCCCTGGGCAGAGATGTCCCCATCCCAGAGCGCAGAAGCACGGAGGCCTCCCAGCCTGCCCGTCCCCCTGGATGTGTCCTACTTGAAGACAGTAAACAGTGGTACAGCCGGAAAGTTTGTGTCACGCGTGTGCAGATTTAAAACATTCTCTCGAGCAGTATTTAATTTCAGGATGAGTATCGTTAATATTAAACAGAAAACGTTTTCAGCCAAAAATGAAAGAAGAAAAAGGCAGGAAAACTTTTAAAGACCTCAACCTGCAACTACTGCCTGGGTGCACATCACACGCCGTGTGCACACACCCACCCTGGCAGTCTAACTGCGCAGCACTGCCTGTGTCCCCTACGCATCCTCCCGAGGTCCCCACAGCTGTGTGACACAGAGTGAGCTCTGACCTAACTACGGTGTGTGGGTTAAACACTGGTTCCTCAGTTCTAGGCTGTGCTCACACAGATGCACTGACAAAAGAGAAAGTGGTCATTCGGGGAGGAAGAAAGTAATAACTCGGAAATCGCAGTACTTTCTGCTAAACCTACATCAGTCTAAAACTTGCCAAGAAAATAAAATCGCTGCATTTCAGCAGCATGTAAGTGTACTTACTGATGAAAACGGTGTGACTTTTCCTGTGTATAGATCTTGTCATTCACAAATCTTGCGTGTGGCCATGTCTCAGCGCAGAGATATTGATTATGTACTTGACAAGTAAACTCTCGATGTTTTAAAGTCTGAGTTGGATGCAGAGCTGCCTTGAATGCATGGGAAGAAAGCCACGGTGCCGTCTAACAGTCACTTTCCGTTACCAGCTAGAATCCACACCTATATGCTGGAGAAGTCCAGGCTCGTGTCCCAGCCTCCTGGCCAGAGCAATTTTCTGATTTTCTACTTGTTGCTGGACGGGCTTTCTGCTGAAGAAAGGCATGGACTGCGCCTCCACAATGGGTGTGCACACAGGTGAGTGACTTTCCTGCCTAATTCCGCCTTCAAATCATGCCTGCACTTTTGTAATCTTAAACTGTCTTTGTAGTTTTCAGAGGACAGATAGTGGCTAAAGAGAATGGTTGCACCCCATGAGGTCAGACTTGTCTCCGTCACGGGGGTCATGGTTATTGAATGTGTTGCCCAGATGCAGGGTTAAGTGTGCATGTGAACTCAAATGTTTCTGTCTTTCTGGTTACAGATACACTGAGGTGTGTACACAGTTTTCTATTCCTTTTGGGTATTTTGGATATAACATCAGTTATGCATTCCAATCTCTGGTCATGGCTTGGAACAGTGGAATAGTTTAAACTCATTATTTTTCATGAGTAACAGACTAGGTTGTGCCTGGGAAGGGAGAACAATACCCATAGCCTGAGGGCTGTGTCTTCACTGGAGGCAAAATGACTGGGGATAAAATTAGGAGGTGTTGGTCATACTCTGATGGGTGACAGGCACAGAGACTGAGCAGAGCCCTCTGTATCTGGGGGTTGTGAGCCCTGCTCCAGGGGCAAAAGGCAGCCAGAGAGAATCCGACCCATACCCCAAATCACTCCTGTGTTCTAAGGCAGGGATAGGGAGTTGGGCTCTCACTGCCTGATCTGGTTCACAGGAGCTGTGCAGGGGTTTGCCAGTGTGATGGGGCCACAGTGCCCTTCCAGTACTAGTTAGAGATGTGACCCTTAATGTGCATCCTACCATGTCTGGGAGGTATGACTAATTCTGAGTGTAGTGTCGGGGAAAAGAGTAAATTTGCCACAGACTAGTTTACCTTTATACCCCTGTCATCAGATTTTGGTAAAAAAATACACATGGGGGTATGGTAATAGTTTGCCATATTAGAAGAAAAAAAGGAGCCAAAAGTTAAAAAGCCCTTATGAGAACTTATATAGAGGAAGACCACCTGAGGCTCACTGTCTCCAAAACACAACAGAAACTTAGGAGAAACGGAAAGCAGTAATATTGTGGTCTGGAGGCAGAAGTGTGGATGCAGCACCAGTGGAAATGATGGACTCAGACAATCCAAGCTCTCGGGACTTTGGAGATATTGTCTATCAAGCCCTTGAGAATACTAAAGCCAGAGCCATGAAGGAGCCTTTGCTGACAACAAATCTGATGAAATCCATTACCTGACAGTAATTTTTTTTTTTTTTTTGTAGTAGTAGTACTAGTAGTAGGGGTTGAACTCCAGGCCTTCACACCAAGCTACATCCTTATTCTTATTTTATTTTTGATTTCTGAGGCAGTCTCACTAAATTGCCCAGGATGGACTCAAACTTGCGATCCTCCTGCCTCAGCCTCCAGACTGTGGGTATCACATGCCTGAACATCTCTTGCTGAACACGTCCCTTGGAGGAGCAGCATGATACAGGCGACAGTGGCTGTGTGTTAAGCAGCAGCTGCAGGAAGGAGAGTGGGTGGGTCTGCCTGCCCCAGTTCCTCCTCCCGCGGAACTCACAGCCCATAGCAGGCAGGCAGCTTAGAGGACGCACCTGTGTGTGTGTGTGTGTGTGTGACACACGTGTGCCTGGCTCAGGGACTTGAGCCACTGGGACCAAGGCAGTGACCTAGGCCACGGCACAGAGGAGCGGTGTCTGTTCTTGGCTGTGGTGCAGGCGCAGGCAGGAGATCATGGGGACCTCTGCCAGCTCCACAGAGTGCACTGGGCTGTGGGTCCAGCGGGGCTTTGTGAGTCCTGCAGCCGGCCTGGTCTGTGCTCCTGAATAATTCAGCGGCCTTGGACGAAGCAGGCCGTGTACTGAGATGGACTCTCAATACCCGAGAGTGCCACAGTTTCCCGTGAAAACCACACCCTGCTGCACATTCCCAAAGATGTCACTTGGAGCATGGGTGCTGGGACCGTCCGGCAGAAAATTACACGTTTTCGCAGTAAAAAGCCGCCTTTCAGAGTTGTAAAATATCGCACATCGCGCTGTGTGACGGAGTCTTCTCACATTTATAACACTGGCGAGGGCAGGAGTTTTATATCGCTTTGGCATTTGAGTTCAGGTTGGGGCTTCATGTTTGTTTAGACGTAATGAATAAGAAATAATCACAGTTTTGGAGATTGTTGGCTCGTTTACCATCAGAAGTATTACATCTGAATTTTCAAGCTTTCTAAACTTTCGCAAGTCGACACATCCGAGTGTGCTCCTTAGCATCAGGGCTGCCGTGGCAAGCGTGTCACTGTTGGTAAACTGTCTAACCCCGCGAGTGAGGCGCTGCGCATTCACATGCTAGTGCCATCGCCTCCATCCACCAGAACTCCGGCGCCCTTTTCGTAGTTTGCCGATCTCAGCCCTTACCCCGCTTCCCGAGAGGAGGCACGAGAAAACATTTGCCCCGCGCTTGCTCCAAACGTAGTCTGGCTCTGCTTTATCCCTACCACAGTGTTACCTGCGTGAAGGGAAATACACCTCGCAGGTAACTGAGCTGAGGCCTAAGGATTTCCGTTCGGGAGGCAGAGAGGAAGAAGCAGAGCTGCCGCGCGCTCTTCTCCACAGTTTCACCGGTGTGCTTTTTCGGCACTGGCGCTGTGTCTAGGACTAGAAGTTTTTGCATATGGAGTGAGAACGTTGGGCTGTACATAAGATCAGAATGCCCCTGGGAAGACTAACATGGGCGCACGGGAGAGAGCACTGCAGACACGGGCGTGGTCCCGGAGGTTTAGGCTTAACCGCGGAAGACAGCGCTCCTGACCCTTTGCACAGCACCCTTCCTGGGCGGTTGTTAAAGGGGCGGTGAGGCCTGCAAGTCTCCATTTTTTATTTTGAGCTGTGGCTTTAAGACTGCACGTACCTAGGCTTGCCACCAGGAGGCGTGCTCTCACAGTGTCAGCAAACAACAAAAAAGTGGGAAAGGAAAAAAAATTACAAAAACAAGTGCTCATCGCTTACAATTTTCTTTTTCTTTATTTTTTCTCTGCCTCATTATTTTCCTAGCTGTTCACTTCTCAAGTGGCATTTTAACTTTTTTAGGATTGCACTCACATCTAGGGAACAGATGTCCTTTACGGCCCTAGAGATGGAGATGCCACCGTTAGAAGTCATTTTTCATTGTTTATCTTCCTCTTACTTGAAACTACCTTTGTGAACTCAATCCCTTTCTCTGGGCTCTTTAGGGAGGCGGCACCAGCCCTGTGACTCAGAGTGCGCCCCGGGCTTCACCCCAGGCCACCCAGAGGCAGCGCTGACTCAGTCTCTGAACCTGAGGTCCCCCGGAGCTCACAGCTGTCACCAGCAAAGCGCAACAATTAACTCCCCGGGAGAGGTTTATTTTCTCCTCTCTCTTTTGCTAAGGAATTATTAGGAACATCGAATTTAACCCGAGGATCTGTCACTGTCTTTTAAAAGGTAAAGGAAAGCGTGAAGGTTACTTAACGGTGACTCTTCCTAGTCGTGTGATAGAATGCAGTGTTCTCTTAGCCACACATTTTAGGCAAGAAAGGCCTGAAGTGCTCCTCAGAGCCCCAAAGACCTGAGGTTGTTGAGCGATTTCGCACAGGCTCTGCTTCTGGTCTTCAGAATGGCCCAGGCCCGGCTCCCCGGCAAGCGATGAATCCTCCTCCCCATACCAGGGACTCCACACGCTGCCACCCCGGATCCCGGAAGCTTTTCCTCTGCCCCATCCATGCTTTCACTAGTGACATTTGAAGGAAAATGAAACAGCACAAAGTAAAAAAATCTGTCCCTGTGTGGCTTTATTTAAATTAAAAGTGGCTCAAGAAACTAACTGTAGTGTTTTAGGGCTTGTCATGTTTACTACTGTAGATAATAATTCTGGGTTACTATCTGGTAGTATAATAAAATGCTTTAAACTAGCAGGGTGTGGTGGCACACACCTGTAATTCCAGAATTCTGGGAGGCTGAGGCAGGAGGATTGCAGACCCAGCCTAGCTAATTTATCAATTTAGGGAGATTCTGCCTCAAAATAAAAAGGGCAGAGCTTAGTTCCATGTGAAAGCCCTGGCTTCAATCCCTGGTAACACACACACACACACACACACACACACACACACACACACACAGAGGGCTTCTTATTTTACTAATAGAGCTTGATTGCCCATCTGTTTGTTTTTTGGTTTTTTTGAGACAGGGTCTCACTAGGTAGTTGAGACTGACCTGGAACTCACTATGTAGCCCAAGCTGATCTCGAACTCATAGCGATCCTCCTGCCTCAGCCTCCCAAGTGCTGGGATTATAGGCACGTACCACCATGCCTGGCTTGATTGCCCACCTGAAGGGTGCAGCATGGCAGTGGTAGAAGCTTTGTGCCTGCCCAGGCAGTGTGTCCTTCTGGGAACCCAGGGAGAGCACTGGCTGCCCACTGAGTGCCACTGATGCCGAGCCTGTGCCCTGCCTCCTCCAAACCCCAGAAGCTCTGAGCGTCCTGCACTTTATTCATCATAAATCTGATGCACAGCTACAGAGTTTCTCAAGGACCTTTAGCTGATATATTTAGCAGGAGGTGGAGGCAGATTCCTAAACCCAGATCCAGCACAGATTTCTACTGATCAAAACCCTTTGAGTGGAGGGGTGGGGCCCACAGCTCTACCAGCAGGGGGCGCTGACAGCAGACGCAAGGTCTGTGGTGTGGTCCAGGGGCCCAAGTGCTCTCTCACCCCCTTGTACTCCTTCGGTCTCTCTCCATTTCCTGTGTTTTTTCCAGCACAGAGAGGAGCATGGCCACACAGCGGCCCCTAACTTGGGAGCTCCAGAGTGACAGTCATACAGGTGGCCTTGCATGGTCTCCAGGACCCAGCCCCTGGACAGAAGTCAGGGAGAGCTTTGCCACAGCCACCCTGAGCCCATGCTGTGGAGCCGATGTCCGAGGCAGGCCGGGCCCTGCACGATCCCCTGCGGGCCCAGGCCTGGCTGGCACATCTGCTATGCCCAGGGCCGAGCTAGCCACCTCGACTTCCCAGATACACATAGAGCCACGAAGATCCTACACAGGCCCCTGCGTGCTCCTCGCCT